ATAAATGTGCGAATGCTTATAAAAATGCGAATCGTGCCATTAATTTCTGTACACGTAGATAAAATAAAATTCAGAGAATTACTTTTTAGACAAGTAATGCAAAACAATAGTCCCCTCAACGAGAGAAGAGCGATTTTGACAGTGAACATCCAAAAATTGACAGTGAAAAATATCGTACGCTGAAAAAATGACAGATAAATGTCTCCATCATTTTTTTATTGGTGGGCAGACTATACCGAGAAATGACCGTGTCTATGATTTCTTTTAGTTCTACCAAGACTAACGTTCATATTTTATTTGAGTACCTAATTTAAAAAGTATGATCTATAGAACTTATACCAGAGAACTTGGTTACCAGACGTCGGGATTTTTATTATGTCCGAGTGGATTTTTGAAACACGTCCGGATTTTATTGTTCCATTAAGAAATGTCGCTGTAATGCAAAATAATAAATTAGTTTTAAAAATGTACCTGGTTATTTAAAAAATCGTCGATAAGTTTAGCAATGTAAATTCATTGTTTTACTTTGCAAGTTTTAGGCTTTGACAATTTAAATATAAATGTATGTACATTCTTGCTCTTATTGTTTTATTAATATGTAATCATCAATCAGTATGCAATGTGAAAAATACTAATTTGCTAAAAAATTTGGCCGTCCGGATTGTGTCCGGATTTTTTTGGAAGGTTGTATGTATATACATATTTTAATGTAATGATAAAGAATAAATACATACCGCATGATCGAAAAAAACGGCGTCCAGTTGGCTGGGAAATAACGATTGATGACATTTCCCATATAAATTTATATATAAAATGACAGCGATCTTTATTTCATAGCCATCGCTGATGCCGTTTTTTACCATACGGTATTATTTTACACAAATGAATCTTACTGTTTATGCTATCAAAAGTAACGCCAGTAATGCGACTACGAACTATACCCGATTTTGGCGCATTTCCCATTTCGTATACCGTGTTAGAGACATCTTTACTGCTGAACTAAGCTTGTGGGCGGGGCTTATAGACCTTATGTTCTCTACATGGTATATTATGGAAATACGCTACCCGGTAACATTCCTCTATCAAGCGATGTGTAAAAACAAACCTTTCCAATATTATTGAAATATGTCTCCTGTCTCCTCCATTCAGTAATATAAACAATTTCAATAATTTTACTGTCATTCCTTTTTTTAAACAAAGAATAATTAAAAAATGCATTTCGTCAAAATTTTAACAGACAAAATAATAAAAATTGAAAATAGTTTTTTCTCGTACATTTCCACATCTTACGGAATTAGAATATTAGGTAATTAGATTTTTATTTTATATTTTTCTGATATATTCAATGTCAATACCAAACAATTTATCGAGAATTGACCTTGCCTAAATTCGAAGGGGCCAAGTTTAAAGTTCAGACTTCGAACTAAAGAATGTACTCCGTCTCAGTTGAGAATCAATTAATAGGTATCTTAAAAATTGCGACCTATCAAGGTATGTAATTGTCCAAAAATTCAAATATTTATATATATTAAACTACAGAAACTAGATGAATCTAACACACTGAAGATACAAAATTAATTAGATTTTGGTATAAAATTAGAAAAAAATGAATGCTCTAAAAGTAGTTAATAAAAAAATACAAAAATACACTTAGATGCAAAAAAATGCAACGGAAAACTTTATCGTCAAGCTTAAAGTGTTATATTTTTTTATTTTTAGCCCTATTTTCATGATTTTTTAGCAAACTGTATATAAATCTATCAACTTCATGAGTTCAGTTTTTTCTAAACTTTAGTATTTGGATAATTATACCGAGTTAATTGTACCAATAATTTCGTGAGTAACTTTTCCTAAAACATTATTTTTCGATCAGAACCATGTCTCCTGAGCATTTTGAATTTTTTGAATTTTTAAGAGTGAAATGAACTTGCCACCAACAATTTGCAAGTTTTTCAACTCAACTTTCGTTGCACGTCATCAATGACACCATGCGTCGTCTTATGGAGTTTGCTGGTGGTCGTATTATGATGTGCAACGAAAGTTATTTTAATTTATGTTTATATCATAACTTTATGATGTTATTTGTTTAATATCACGAGGTAACTTTGGTTACTATTATCGTAATGTCATATCGACACTGCATTAGAACCATAGACAATTAGAACTCTATATTAAAATTTAAATAACGTCAAAAAGCAACTATACAGGCTTGGTTTTAATAAATATTATTCTAACACAACTGAAGATATTTAAAAAACATAACTGCGATAACTAAGTAAACAAACAAACAAAATGCTTGTAAAAAATACTCTTAATACTTTGTACTGCCTCCACAATTGCCTCCCCCGGCTGCTAGAACTGTCTGTAGACGTTGGTTCACAATGCCAGTGAGGCTGCAAATATATTGTGTTATGTTCTTATATGACTAAAATGTAAGATTATTGACATATTTAACATTTTCTAGAAATAAAGAACAATTTTTAAATTACAATAAAAGCTACCTAAATTGGAATATACCCGGTATAGCCTAATATGTAGTTAAATTAACTATTGTACTTTAAATCAAATTAAAACTTGATCCAAAAAGTTATACAGGGTGAGACAAAATTAATATTGAACAATGGTCACATTTTTTTTCTTTTATTTTAAATGGGACACCCAGTATAGTATTCTGATATTCAATGGAGAATGTATGTCTCTTCAAAATACTATTAAGGTTGCCTACCCCTCGAACAAAGATTTTCCTAAATATTTTCATTTGCATGATTTGATCTGAGTAGATCTTTATTATTTGATAAAATCTAGGTGGCTGTGATACGTCTCACCTTACTTCAACATAGCTGTTTAATTAGTCCAACTTTAACAACTAGTTATCATTTTATGTCAGTAAAAACAAAAAAAAATCTCATAAATTTTCTGAAAATGCAAACTTATCCTACATCAGAGTATCAGAGAGAATTGATATGATTCTATTAGTTGGTGATTGCAGTGTGCATTCACCAATTAATAGAATACTTAAATGCTACTGATTTTATCTAGTCTGGTTTTTTTATGGGGATATGTTAAAGACAGTGTTTAAAAAACTCGAGCAACTATTGTCGACAACATGAGAGAAATTATTGTAGCTGTTTTTCGAGGTAGAACTCCACATAATGCTTTTTAAAATGAAAAGATCCTTTTGAAAAGACAATCATTTTATGCAGTTAACAGGAAAGGAAGCATTTTGAGCATTTGATTTCATCTAGCTAATTTTTGTCACATAATGATAGGTTTATATCTAGTTTTAATTGTGTAATAATTAAAATATGTTTTAAACGTGTATCTTTTTATTACCGTTGAGTATTTTACCCTAAAATCTTTAATTTTTGTTAAATTAACAAAATGTATAATATCACAGCCACCCTAGATTTTTCCAAATAATAAAGATCTACTTACTCAAAATCATAAACATTAAAATATCTAGGAAAATCTTTGTCTGAGAGGTAGGCAACCTTAATAATATTTTGAAGATATATAAATTCCCCATTGAACACTGGAATAATATACTGGGTGTTCTATTTAAAATAAAGGGGTAACTTGCTTTTAAAAGTGACTAATGTTGCATATTAATTTTGTCTCACCCTGTATAACCTTTCGGATAAAATTTCAATTTGGTTTAACATACAATGGTTACTGTAATTAAATACCAGGCTATACAAGGTCAACTAAAATTTAGGTACCTGTTATCGAAATTTAAAATTTACTCAACATTTTCACAAAATGTGAAATATGTCAAAATCCTTAGATTCTAGGTATATGCTTCTTTAATAAAACCTTTATTTTTTTCCTAGAATCCGAAAATCAATTAATATATAGGGTGTTCCATTAGAAAAACCACAACTTTGATGTGTAACTTTTTTTGGGGACACCCTGTATAATTCTATATATTTTTATAAAACGCTTCCAGTTAACCTAGATATGCTGCAAAAATTTCATTTCGATATATACTACCGTTCTCCATGGGGCGTCCGCGGCGTATGAAAGGCGCCACCCTGTATAATAAGCCAAACACTAAAGTTTTTTTTTTCGTAAACTAAGTTTACGAAAATTAAAGTTGATATATTTATATACAGTTTCCTAAAAATTCAAGAAAATAGGGCTAAAAAAGAAACAACAGTTTAAAAATGATGAAAAAAAATCCGTTGCGTTTTTTACATTTTTCTTTTTTAGTGATTGGTAAAAACCGAGGTAGAAACCCTTCGTTTTAAAATGAATAATAAACAATGGACTCTTTCCTGTAGACACAAAGAGAGCAATTTGTTAGTCAATTATCACTTTTGTTATCATTTTTGTTAAAAACTTTTACGAACAAATATTAATAATGCATTGTATTTATTAACTAAAATTAACTTATTTTAAATTCCAAGTGATTGATAGATATTGACAAATATAAATAAGCAATTTAAATTGCGGTTTTGTATTAAAAAATTTCAATGAAAAAGTCTTATAAAATAAATGATTGAAATCGTCTTTAAATAAATTGAAAATTGACAATTTGAAAGTAAAGATAAGCTCAATGAAATTTGCCAATTATAACAAGGTCGAGATATCAACAAAAGTCCACTAACTCAAAGTGTGATTTTTTTCATAAAATTACTATACAATTATCTAAAAATAATTTAAATTAGCTAGTTTACATTTCCAACTAATGCTTGGTTTAGAAAAAATATAATAAATTAGTAATATTTCTGAAAAAGTTAACAATTAAAAATAAAATGTCTAGTGTTATTAAAAATAATTATAATAAAAATATTAAATAATGAAAAAAAGAAACAAATAAATAATAAATAAAATATGCAAATAATTTTTAATCTTCTATCAAGTCGACATACTAAAATCATAAAAAAAACTTTCCAAATACATTTCGGAAATATTTACCTTCTATTCATAAATATGAATTATATTTTCATTACTTTCACAGGCTACAATCCATGCAAACAGGTAAAAGTTCAAATACTTACCGATAATTGACAGAAACACGAAGTACAAAATGTTGCAATTCATTCTGATTAATGTCCTTAATAACACACGCGAATAAAAATATGACAAAATATGTGTATATGCACAAGAAACTGTAAAAATAAATGTTTAGGTGCCGCTTTTTTAGAACACGGTTTGATCCGGAGGTAGCGATATAGTTGACTGAGCCGCTTGTCGCTTTTCATATTTTACTACTTAGGAGCGAGTCTACTTAGCGAAAAGAGTTTTCGCATATCAAATTATAACGTACACATAAATACCGAGAGATTTAAGGGTAGACAGACGTTAACGTAGAGTGTAGAATGTTTAGGAGGGTGATTAATCACCGCGACCTGACAGATCTATTGTGTTTCCCTTTTTTTTTAGTTATATACAGTGTGTCCCACTAAGAATAGCTCTCGGCTGTATCTCGGAAAGTATTAGCCGTAGCGGCTGCGGAAAAAAATATTTATAACTAAAGAGGCTATGGGAAATTGCTGGAAATTATTTTCAAGTTTGTAGAACGACCGCTAGGGGGCGCAACTACAGCAAAAAATAAGAAAATGGAGTTTTTACACAATTTTGTCTAGATAAGGTGTACTATAAGTAACAGCTTCATAATCTTCAGTAAATTTTGAATATTTTTTGTTAGAGCCATTTTCCCCTATCTACCGAAATAAAGCGGTGGGGGAAGGTTAGATCTGTTTTTATATGATTATTAATAACTCTGGACTGAATAATCGGAATCCAACAAGCGAGGGCTCGTTTAAAAGAGCGTTTCATACTCTATATTGTACCATAAGAATAATAATAATAAGGTTTTGAACGTAGACGCTAGGGGGCGCTTTCTTACAATTTAACAAACATTGCGCGTTTTTTCAAAAAAATTAAATGCAATAGTATATATGTAATTTTAGCTGATAGTAAAGACTAGTAAAAGCTTAAAAAGTCAGCAAAAACCGTATCTTTATATCTTCTTTCAAACCGAAGATATTAGCAAAATTATAATAAATACCAAAAAATAAGCCCTTAATTACCTTATTTTTACAACACGGTGTCAGTAGCCCTCTTGATAGAAGATAGAAACAGTTAGTTTATTTTAAAATCGACGATATACCAGAATATCATAATATCAGATGTATTAATATCTAATAATTAAGATATTAATAATAGTGAACAAGAAACGATGATTCAGTGAAATCATGGTAGGCCTTGGTAAAAAGTTCGTTTTCTTTTGACGTAATAGTATAAACGTCAAATTGTTATTAGATCAATATTTTGATAGTCTTAGCAGCGTTTTTTCTTTTGATTGCTTTTTCAAAATGCCCCAACAACTTCAACTATACCTCAAATAATAAAGGCATTTTGAAAAAGCATTTAAAAGATAAAAAAAACGCTGCTAAGACTATCAAAATGTTGATCTAATAACAATTTGACGTTTATACTATTACGCGAAAAGCAACTTTTTTCCAAAGCCTACCATGACTTCACTGAATCATCGTTTCTTGTTCACTATTATTATCTGGTATTATGGTATTCTGGTATTTCGTCAATTTTAAAATAAACTAACTGTTTCTATCTTATTTTTTTGTTAGAATGGGCCTAATCAAGAGGGCTACACTGATACTGTATTGTAAAAATAAGGTAATTAAGGACTTATTTTTTGGTATTTATTATAATTTTGCTAATATCTTCGGTAATAAAATTCTGTAAAAAATCTATTTTCTTATTTTCCATAGCAGTTGCGCCACCTAGCGGCCGTTTTACAAACTTGAAAATAATTTCCAGCAATTTCTCATAGCCCGTTTAGTTATAAATATTTTTTCCCTAAGCCCTACGACTAATACTTTCCGAGATACAGCCTTAGTGGGACACCCGGTACAGGGTGGTCCGAACTGCATTCCGGAAACTTCGGCAGCATATTCTGCAGATAAAAATAAGTAAAAAAGGTCGTATAAATGTACGTCCTTAAAAGCTTAGTTTCGGAGATACAGGGTGTAGAATTTTCATTTTTAATTTCGATTTTTTCCAAATAATTTCTAAAGTAATGTCACTATTTGGATGAAAATTGGTGTCCGGAAGTTTCTTGACATGATAAATTTTGATTTTGATGTCAATATGACTCCTACTTGTAGAGGGCGTCACCTACATATTTTTTAACTGGTTTGAAGACTAATAAATTTTCGTCCGTACCTGTATAAAACTAATAGAGTAAAACCAGTAAAACTAATAGAGTAAAAAATATATATTTACGACGTTTTTTACGTAAAAAAAGTCTCTTGGTAAAAATCGCTAGGAGTATTGGTTCTCGAGATATTTGGAACCAAAATTATCAATACCCGTCATCATTGACAAAAATAATTAAACATGTTGACAAAATAGTTATCAGACTAAAATCATAAATTTGAAATATTTGTGTGCCAAAAGTTCAACAGAAACTGTTTTATCATCATTTTTTCGCAGAGAAACTTATGATTAACATAAAAAAATAAAAATTTCACAAATTTATTATTTCAGTCAAATAATTATCTACTCAACGTGTTTATTTTTTTGTCAATAATGACATGTATTGACTATGTTTACCAAGATACATTTTTTACGTAAAAAATCACGGAAATGTGAATGTGAATTTTTTCACTCAATAGTTTTATAAAGGTACGGATGAAAAGTTATTAGACTTCAAACCAGTTAAAAAACTTTGAATAAGAAAGTTAAAAAATATGTAGGTGGCGCCCTCTACAAGTAGGAGTCATATTGACATCACAATCAAATATCTCATGTCAAAAAACTCGCAGACACCAATTTTCATCCAAATATTGATCTTACTTTTAAATTTATTTGGAAAAAATCAAAATAAAAATGAAATTTCTACACCCTGTGTCTCCGAAACTAAGCATTTTAGGACATACATTTATACGAACTTTTTTACTTATTTTTGTCTGCAGAATATACTGCCAATGTTTCCGGAATACAGTTCGGACCACCCTGTATAACGAGTCATAATTCATCATACAGTCTCAGGGCTTTAACGAAAGCCAGTAGCTGAGACGGCCCCACAGAGGCCAGCTCTCCATCCTCGACATCAGCCGTACTAAAGTTCATGGCAGGAACGGTCGTCGCGTCGTCTCGGCGCACTCAATGATAAGGTGTTCTAGTGTTTCCCCATTTTCCCCACAGAATCTGCATTCGCCGTTGTTTCTCAGCTTCAGCCTACTGAGGTGTTCGTTGAAGAGACAGTGTACTGTTAGAAACCCCGTAATAATCCGAAGATTCTTTTTACTTAAATCAAGGAAAATCGTTGATTTTTCTGAGGAACTTTTTCGAGTGTCTTCCGTTGGACTCCAATTTCCAGTTACGGATGGACTCTTCCAGGTTCTTCAGTTCCTCTTTTAGTTAGTTTCCGCTTGGAAAACAGAACGGTTCTGGTCTAGTTAGTGGAGCGTTCACTCCTTTTCTAGCTAGATCATTTGCTTTTTCATTGCCTTCTATCCCTTGGTGAGCGGGCACCCAGAGTAGGAGGACTTTATTTTCTTTGCCTAATTTGTTCAGCTTCTCTAGGCATTCTTTGACCATCTCCGAACTGATGGTTACTGAGTTGATCGCGTTTAGTGCTGCTTGACTATCGGATAAGATGGCTATTTCCTGTTTTCGATAGTTCCTATCATAGATAAATTGTACGCATCTTTCGATAGCGTAGATTTCTGCCTGAAAGATGTTGGGTTAGATGCCCATTGATTCGGAGTATTTAGTTTTTGGCCCAAATACTTCTATGCCTGTCCTTGGTTTGGTTTTGGAAGCATCAGTATACCACGTTATGGTATGGTCTTTTACATTCCTTTTTATTACTCAATACTACAGTGAAGTGTTTCTCGAAGTTGTAAATTCTTGGTATGTCATCCACTGCATGGGAGTTGGAGAAGTGGAATTTTCTTTCTGAGGGTGTTCCAGTTTCTCCGCAGATAATAAAACCTTCTCACAAAGTAGATTTCAGTATTTTTAATTCTGTAAACATTGGCGTAACTACAGGGGGCCGGAGTGGCCTGCCTGCCCCCCAGGCTACGTATTAATTTTTATTTGCTTGTGATGCAGTAAAAATGACGTTTTCTAGTTTTATTTAGTTAATATTATTTTGTTGTGTTCAAAAAATGAGCTAATTTTAATTTTTTTTAGAAAATTTGTAGGTATTTAAGTAATCTATAGTCTGTCCCACGAGAAGATCCTTGACAGTGATAGATGTGTCTGTCATTTTAATTTCAAAGTAGTTTATTTTATTTTACAAAGAAATAAGTTGGTACAACTGGAACGCATAGCAGGAAATATTTAAAATTTGATTGACAAGTGATTACTTCAAAATATTGTGAAAAAAACTGTATAAAACTGAAAAAATGTAATCGAATTATTTTATTTAATCAAAACGGTATGTGTTAATACAAAACAAACAAGAACAAGACACCATATACCAAAAAAATAGAAAAAAGAACTATTTATTACTTTCAAGCTTTATGAAACTTCCCGGATTTATGATTATATTTATCAATATAACTTATATTTACAAATACAAATTTGTCATATTCCACAGGAATAAATAAAACAACATAAATAAAACAAACTATTTTATTAAGAATAATAACACTTACCAAATTTTATACTTTAAAGGTTGATTAATTAACTTTAATCTTAATATTTTTAAACCAGTACCTTTTGACATTATTTTTCTGTACTTGTAGTACTAAAATCCATTATTTACCTATCGTGTGATGTCGATATTTTACAGCTACTCCAATTTTTAGTATGTGTTTAGTATGGTCCTACCATATTCGAGATGCACTTATCTACGACGAGATGGTATACGAACTTTATTGATGGTAACTTGTAACTTTATTGGTGTATAAGACTTTCTGCCTGGGCAGCGAGTATTAACCATACACTGTGTTCTGGGTCTACAGTTAATTTTCACTCGATTTTTCCTCCACTTGACTTCAAAATACACAAAACACAGGTAATAACACGAATCAAAATGCATCATCTTCCAAAACGCAGGGTATTTGACAAAAGTTGACACAAAATTATAACCTATAATTTGGCAAGACTTTGACAAGCGTCAAAAATCTAAAGGCGAGTTCATACACATCGGCGTCCGTTTGTCGTTCATCGTTCCGTCAAACCAATAAAATTGAAATACGATCTGTCAT